CAGAGTGGTCTGGTAGATATCCAGCTCAATTCCGGGGACCAGTTGGAATAGGGTCCCCTACTCCTCCGCCATCTTTCCTTCCCCTGTTGTACGTCTTATGTCTGGGTCAAAAAAATATGGGCTCTGCGTTTTCTTTCTATTTCTCTGTGGGACTTCTTCAGATCTGATGGCAGAGGGTTGGGGATACTGGGGAGAGGTGAGCTGAGAGGCGGGGCATGTCCCCGTGGTCCGGGGCAGGGGTGTGGTGTGCGGGATGGGGTCTGGCACAAGGACATGGAGGTGGTGAGAAGTGGCAGACGCTGACCCCTTCTTGGATGTGCGGGGGGGATGAAGGGGAGTGAGGCTGATGTAAGTTTGAGTCTGGTGATTGGGAGGATGACGGGGACATGAATGGTGCTGGCCAAGCTGGGGGAGAAACGCAGGAGCAAGCTGAGCGTGGGTTCTGTCTGGGATTTGACACACCTGGCAGGTGCATAAGAAACACCCGTGACAATTCAGGGAGGCCCGAGGAGACCCAGGGAGCTCCCGAGGATGCAGGGTGTAGAGAGCCCAGAGCGGGACTCCTAGACGAGGAGAAAAATCCAGCTCTGGGGGAGATCCTGTTTCACCCCAGGTGTGTGACCCGCTGTTCAGTCCTGGCGCTGCCTGGAGGGAATGCAGACCCCACGGGTTAGCACCCTCACTTCCGATGCCAGCCACACCCTGGGGGCCCGGGCCGCCCCCACTTCTGACCAGCTGGGTGTAGCTTTGAGGGGTTCCATGACCTCGTGCCAGCATGGCTCACAGGACCAGGAAAGCCCTGTGCTTACAGTTAGTGGGACTCTCAGCCACCTGGTCTGGGGGAGACCCAGACTCCATGTCCTCTCTCCGTGAAGCCCCAGAGCTCAGCAGGCCTGATGCTCCAACCCTCCAGTCGGGTGATTTTTTTTTTTTTGAACTTGACTCCTTGGACCAACTTTACCCTCCCAAACACTGCAGACTGAGTCTGTCCCGTGCCGCACCACCTTCCTTCAGCTCTCAGAAGACATTTGCACGCTGCCTCTTACCCCAGGTGTGTGTGTGTGTCTGCAGGTTAAACAATTCCAAGATTCGTCTCCGTCCCTAAAATAATCCAATTCCCAAGCCCTCATCAGCTCCCCGCGTGTCTCTGGATGTTTCCTCCTCTAGAAAGCTCTTGTTGCCCCGTTCAGCCAGGAGCAGCCCACAGCGCAGAACGTATACTTCACTGTTTCTAGCACCCAGCGGACACTTGCCGCGTTTGGGCAGGATCCCGTGGTTTTGTAAGCACTGTATAAAGTCTGTGAGCTCCTGCACGACATCGCGACAGAGCAGGTGGCCGCAGGTCACGTGCAGGGCTGCCCACAGTCAGTACCTGAGTGAGGGAGAATGGGAGCTGGTGCATGCTGGAGGGAGGGGGTGAAGGTCAAGCTCAGGGGAAGAGAGACAGATGGGAGGAAAGCAGGTGGGTATTACCGGCTCAGACAGGCAGGGGGTCAAGACCGTGCGACTCGGTTCTGGACAAACGTGTAAACCACATCCAGGGTCTAGGAGGGCACACGGCCGGCTTTCCACACACACGGCGGGAGCCCACAGCACAACACCTGGACAGTATTAATTTGAAGTCACAGAAATGGTTCTGGAAAACTGGATAGTGGGCTTGCTGAACCCAAAGCTTCCACTGTTCCTTCTGCTGGGAGAGAACTTGCTTCAGTGCGTGGCGGAGCCCACGACGGAACGGGGGAGAGACCGGCCGAGCGGGAGAGAGGAGCAGGCTGTTCATGGCTGGAAAACAAAGCTCTCAGGGGCGGAGCTGTAGTGGATTTGCAGCACTCTACTCTGTTCCACGTCCATGCCTCTTTGTGTATTTATGTTGACCTGCACCCCGCGGCGTTTCTGTAAAGATTTAATATGCCCTCGTAAGAGAACGCAAAGCACAGACGGCAGGCTGCATTAAGTGAGCCATAAGGAGAAGGAGAACGCAAGAGTGGCCCGTGGTATGGGGCTAGGATGTCCCCCCTCGTGGCCACACACTTAGCTCCGCAACAGCCAATCAGAGAAGGGAGAACGGACCGGTCCGATGTTGGACGATGATCCGAAACAAGCGGTGGGGTTTGCCTGAGGCGATGGAGTCCGCGGTGCAATGTGGACCAGCACTGGCTGGGGTGGGGATGGCGCGCCGTGTGAGGTCATGAGCCGCCTGTATGATAAAACTGTTACAATCGCTAAGTTGGTGGTGATTTCTCCGTATTGGCTGATGCCGTACGCCAATGCACAAGCCCCCGAGAGGCAGGCAGAGCAAATCCAGACAAGCAGTTCCACACACAGAGCTGGACCATGCAGATGGTCCACTCTTCTGTCTCGACTTGGCTTCGTCGACTGGGGGGCGGGGGGAGGATTTTTGAGTTTTGCCCCGAGTTCCATCCAGTGATCCCCTTGCATATCGTTACATCGTCTTGCTGAGTCTGTCTCCCCCTGCGAAATATGGCTAATGTAAGACGTATGCCCCAGGGATGCTTCTGAGGATCAGGTCACAAAATGTCAGCCCAGCACCTGTCACGTGAGGCACATTCAGGACGTGCTGGTTCTTCCTGACGCAGCACCTGCAAAATCCCCGCACGAACGGGCCGAGAAGAATGGTGGCCTGTGCCCTTCTTGGTGCCCGTGGGCCTGGGCAGAGCAGCCAGGAGCTGCCGTGTGGGCGCAGGGCGTCCGCCCGCCGTGCGGGTAATGGGCTCGCGGGCTCACCTCTCCGATTTGTCTTCTGCAGGGATAATGCTCTACAGCCAGCCGTACGGAGGGGCCTTGCTGAACGAGGACAAGATGTGAGTGTGAGGGTGGGCAAGGCGGCCCTGACAACGGGACAGAGTCTTTGGGTTGCTTGGGGGGGTTGGGATCCCTCCTGCCTTTGCCCCGAGTGATGCTGGCTTGGGCGTTTCTTTGCCAAGTGTGAAGACCATGATTACTGGAGAACGCGTGTTGACCGAGTTTAAAACGGATGAGCATAGCATACACTCCACTGTCTTTCTAAGTCAAAATTGTTCCAAGGGCATGATCTCCTTGAAGCTCAGGGACCCCATATCTTCCAGATGCTTTTTTGGACTACAATATTTTTTAAAGATTTTATTTTATGTATTTCAGAGAGAGAGAGAGAGAGAAAGCAGGAGTGGGGGGCGGGGAGGTGCAGCGGGAGAGATAATCTCAAGCAGACCACACTGAGCTTGGAGCCTGACGTGGGGCTCAGTCCCAGGACCCCAAGATCCTGAACTGAGCCGAAGGGAGACACTGCACCAACTGAGCCACCCAGGTGCTCCTAGAGATTTTTTTTTTTTAAGTAATCTCTATACTCCACGTGGGGCTCGAACTCACAACCCCGAGATCAAGAGTCACACACTCCATTGACGGAGGCAGCTGGGTGCTTGGGGTGCAGTCGTAAACAGGGCGTCCTCCATTTCCCACCTCCCTTCCCTATCACACCGACGACAGAGGGCCAGACATCGATAGTAGGCAGAATTAGCACAGCGCACCCTTGAACAACTGAGTTGGGGTGCTGACCCTCCATGCAGTCGAAAATCTGCATATCACTTGACTCCCCGAAAACTTAGCTAGCATCACTTGTGTCCTTCCCAGGACCTGAGTCGGAGACGCAGATACGCTTGACGGGCGTCCTTTCTCCGGGGTGTTAAGGGGGCAGGAAGCATAAGGCGGTTTCTTCTCCCGTCCCTGCACTCATTCTCGGCTCCCCCCTTTAGCGGTCTCTGCCACCGGCCGCGATTCTGGCTGTGGGCTCGCTGAGGGAAAGAAGGTGCCGCGCCGTGGACGGTTCGTGACGAGCCCCTTCTTTACGTGGGCCACCTGAGACACTGCGTGTGCGCTGGGCATTGCTAAGGCGGGGCCCCTTGGTAGCGCTCCGATGAAAATGTGACCAAGAAAGTGCACAGCGTACATCCTTACCATCAGGAGTGCACCTCCCTCTGTTAAAAAATCATCTTGACGTTCGGAGAGACGGAATTCAGAGGTGGGCGAGCCACCTGCGGAGCTACAGCTAATGTTCCCTCCCCGTCCCCGCAGGTGTCCCGACCTGGGCGGAGGCCACAGCTCACTGTGGACCCCGCGCTGAGGATGTCTTTCATTTTAACTGGGGAGTCGGGCTCAGTGGTCAAGAGTAAACCTTGAGATGGGCAGACTCTCAGATGTCCCTGAACTCTGCTCCCCTCGGTTACGTCTTCCCGAGGCTGGGAGCGATAATCCACGCCCGAAAAGTCGTCGAGGGGATTTAGTGACAGACTCCACACGCTTCGCCAGTGTGCCCTGCCCATCCTCAGTTCCTGACGAGTGGTTTCCTCAGCTCGTCTCCTCGTCGCTGGTTGTTACCACGGGGAAGAAGACCCGTGTCCCTTGTGGGACACCTGACGCGCTGTTCTGTTCTGCCCACAGCCTGGAGACCATCCGACAGTGTGGTGTCGCGCTCTGCATCGTGCTGGGCTTCTCCATCCTGTCTGCGTCGATCGGCAGCGCCGTGGTGAGGGACAGGGTGAGCGGAGCCAAGAGGCTGCAGCATGTCTGTGGCCTGGGCTACAGAACGTATTGGCTCACCAACTTCCTGTATGACATGGTAGGATTGGGGACCACGTCCCGTCCATGTGCTGCACGCCGCTGATCTGTGTGTGCGCGTGCGTGCGTGTGTGAGAGTGTGGGAAGGGGCCGTCTCACACTGTCCGCAGAAGAAGGGATCATTCTGCTGGCAAGAGCTAGTCAGGCTCAGTCTCCATCCGTCATTTAGGATGGCTTCATGTGACGCAGGATGGACCAGCCACGCCCTGGAGCTCTGTCTGGGAGCTTGGGGACCTGCCCAGACATGCAGAGTTTCTCATCGGGAAGGTGACACGATAATCACACTAAATATGCTCTGCTCAAGGGGTTGCGAGTGGGGGAGGATAAAGGCCCTTCGAGCTGACCTGCCGGCCACACGCATAGGCTGCCTCCAGGTGACCGTAGCCCGGCCCGTTCTGCAGAGCTGCCGCTCTCCAGGGGACGCCCTACAGGTCACTGTCTTCTGTCCTTGGAGGACAACAGCAGTGCCCTCTGTTCCCTGGACTTGCAGGCATTTAAGTGGACTCAAGGCCTACGGCTACTTTCTTGGCTGCTTGGGGTTGTCCTCGTTGTAGGAAAGTGATAGTCTGTCCTCGTCAATAAAGCCGGCAGCCTACACCACCACGCCTTCCGTGTGATGGCGTGCAGTGACCCCAGATCCCCGGCAAGGGAACGAGACAGTAAGAGCCTGAAAAGTGGGGGCGGGTTTCAGGACCCCGGCGGGTGGGGGGACCCAAAATCTCCCAGGCCTCAGCCAGTCTCCCTCTCTAATGCAGTCTGGACTTTATGGACCCCTTTGTCCCTGCCATGCCTCTCTGGGGGTTTAAGGGCAGGGAGGATTATTTCCTTCCCAGTTGACTGTGTTTCCATCTTCATCCAGTCATTTCCGGATGATCACTCATTTAACGGATATTTTTGGGGATCTGCATGGGGGCAAGGTGTGTCCGGGGTACGGGGAATAAAGCCGTGAGCAAGGCAGAGATGTTCTCTGCCCCCTGGAGCTTGTGTTCTCACGAGAGAGTAGGACTTAAACCAGGAGGTCAGGGAAGGACCCCCAAGGAGGCAGCCCTGTGCATGGTGTGAGGAAGGGCTCCGTGAGAGGCCCCAGGACGAGCCCGTCCTTGAGCGCAGGACTGGGCAGAGGCCACGTCCCCTGGAAGGTCCGAAGGTGGGGAGTGTTGGCCGTGGCGGTTTCCTGGCAGACCCTTACGACACTCCGCAGACGGAGTGTCCCTCCCAGGGCCTGGGGCTGGACGTCCCAGATCGAGGCGTGGCGGGGCCGCTTCCTCCTGAGGCCCCTGTCCTGGGTGTGTGGGTGGCGTGTCCTCCCCGTGTCCTCACGTGTGTGTCTGTGTCCCCATGTCCTCCTCTTACAAGGACGCTGGTGCTGTGGGATCAGGGCTGCTCTGGGGACCTCGTCTACCTCCATGACCCCTTCAGGGGCGTGTCTTCAGACCCAGTCACGTTCTGAGGTCCGGGGTCTTCAGTGTATGCATCGGGGGTGGGGGACACCGTCCTGCCAGAGCTGGGCCTCCCGGGGGCCCCCCCACTGCTGCCTGGGTGTCATCTGCAAAGTAGCAGAAGTGGAGATGGGGTGCCATCCCCCGTTCCTTGTCTCCCCAGGTCTTCTACTTGGTTGCCGTGGGCCTGTGTGTCACCATCATCGTTGCCTTCCAGTTAACAGCGTTTACCTTCCGCGAGAACTTGGCAGCCACGGCTCTCCTGCTGGCTCTTTTCGGGTATGTGATGAGAAACATGGCTGCAGAATTACGGTTTGTTTTCTGGAAGAGAGACACCCCCCGGGATGGCTTTGAACCTGCTGCCAGCTTCGTGATTTTCTCTCTCTGCAAGCAATTATGTTGCTTCTGCGAGGGCCGCGCCGCGGACCAGCCGGAGCAGGTGGATGAGCGCCCCGCGGAGGAGGATGGGGAGGAGGAGGGCGGGTAGCGGGGCGGGGACGGAGGTGGTGCGGGCTGGTGCCGCGAGGCCCCCAGCTGTCTGCTGACGCGGGCGGGGCCCCGCGGGTTCCTGGCTGTCCTCACGCTGACAGTAATCTGGAGCCCAAACCCGTAATCCGGTTAGCTCCAAAACTGCCTTTCAGAGGAGAGTCTGCCTTGCAGCCCGGCGTCTGGCGCATTTTCCCTCTTCTGTGACAGTGGTGGTCTGGCAAGGTGCCTTGTTGTCGCTCTTGTCACTTTTCCCAGGGGAAATACAGCAAAGGCAGAGAAGTCACTGTACATGCCTCTCATTTTCAAACGCACTGAGCAGGATCATTGCCCGTGGTCCCCAAATTGTATGCACCCGGTATCAACAATATAGAGCTATGTGTCTCCTTACATGGTGGCCGTATGTCTCTATGCAGGCTGAGCGTGCGAGAGAGACTTGCTACGAGGAGGGAAGATAAGGAACATGTTTGTTATAATGCGAGGCAGATGATTTTTTGAAAACCCCACATTTATCCTGCTTTATCGAAGCCAAAGATGACAAGTACAGTGATCTTTGCACAGCTCATGGTGACGTCAGTGACACAAAACATTTAATTAGGGGACCAGATTTGACACAAACAAGCATATATTCTTTTTTTTTTTTTAAAGATTTTATTTATTTATTTGACAGAGAGATAGAGAGAACAAGTAGGCAGAGAGGCAGGCAGAGGGAGGGGGAGAAGCAGGCTCCCCGCTGAGCAGGGAGCCCGATGCGGGGCTCGATCCCAGGACTCCAGGATCATGACCCGAGCCGAAGGCAGCCGCTTAACAGACTGAGCCACCCAGGCGCCCCAACAAGCATATATTCTTATTAGACGACTCTGTGGATGGATAGACTGGGGGGAGAGAGAGACAGACGGGACAGACAGATCTTCGTGGGAAGAGTGATATGGCCACTCATGGATTCTGTGGCCTTGGGAAGTATCACGACTCTCTCCAAACCTCACTGTCTTCTGTGTGGAGCTTTAGTTCTGTTCAGTTAGATAGTTCATACAAACCTCACAGACAGCGAGTGGTGAAAGGTCCCATTTAATGACTCTTGGCCGCATCGTTCCTATGCGAACTATTCTGGTATTCAGAGGATATTACGTCTTAGGCTATGAAAATGCTTGCAGTTGCGCCTGTCTATCGTGCTCAGTTGGAAATTTAAGTTCCCGGATATAAAGGGCTGTGTACGTGGATTCCTGCTTCTCAGGAAGTGGTCTGGTTTCAGTGTGTGGATCCAGTTGAGTGGACAGTGTTGTGGCTTCTGATGGTGTGATTAAACAGACTTCGCTATACGTTACTTGTAAAGTTTACAAAAGCAGAGGTCGTTGAGTTTAACGGAAGGTAACACTCAGACAAAATTGAATGTGGTTAGAAATGCCTAAGAAACGTGTTTTGAGGAGGAGTCCGGAAGCTTGTTTGGCTCGTGAGCACCTTTGGGAGTCTGGATGAAGCCCAGACTCCTGGCCACATGCGCGGCGATGGCATTTTCTGAAGAATTCCGGGAGATTCACAGAATCCCTTGACTGACAGCCTGGGCCAGCAGGGGCGATGCAGCTCTGGGGAAGAATTCCTACGGTCGGACGGACCGAGGGGTCTGAACACAGCAGATGGTGTCAGAGGGCAGGTGGACCCCGGTGAAGAAGGGCCCCGGGGTGGCCGGCTGCGATCACAGAGCCACATCCCAGGGGCCACGGGTTTGTTCTCATTTACATGGTGTTTCTTCTCTCGCTGGGGCCCCGGCTCGCACCTGGTGCTGCATGGGCATTGCTGTCTCCCTGTGCCCATCTGCTCACCCCTCCGTCCCCAAGGAGGGAGGCGAGGGGACCCCGAGGACAGTCTCAGGAAGGCTGGGCCCCCAGAGTGCCCTGCAACCTGAGGACGTCACAGGCATGAAAAGTGGCTTGCAATTACACGGGATTCAGAATCCAAAGAAATTAGGGATCGGACAAGGGCACAGAGTCTCAAAGAGACAACAGAAAAAAAATGCCCGGTGACAATTGTCTTTTTTTTTTTTTTTCCTTAATATTCCTGCTCTCTCTAACCAGGAAAACTTGATATTTTAGTGGAGAGTGAGGAAACTCAGCATCAAAAAGAGGAAAGGAATGTCAGAAAGAAAAGAGAGTCTAGCTTCTATAAAACGTTGCAAGCATAGGAACGCATTTGGTGATTATTTGGTGCTTAAGGCTTGTGAACACGAGGCCCACAGAGTCCTGTTCCAGGTCCTAGAAAATTCACTCACTAGGGGAGGGGCCGTCTTTCAAAGGGAGGAAAACCCCACAAATTATGGAAGGATTGTGAACAGCATGCCACTAGCCAGTAAGTGCTAAAGTCATCAAAATATTACATTGTATTTTAACGAAAGTAGAGATTGTTAGAAGCCGCTGTAGATTTCACTAAAAAATAAATTATGCTCTAGGAGCCCATTTAATTTTTTTCTTTTCTTTTTTTTTTAAGATTTTATTTATTTGAGAGAGATTGAGTGAGAGCACAGGTGGGGGGAGGGGCAGGCAGAGGGAGAAGCAGGCTTCCTGCCGAGCAGGGAGCCCGATGCGGGACTCGATCCCAGGACCCTGGGATCATGACCTGAGCCGAAGGCAGACGCTTGATCGACTGAGCCACCCAGGTGCCTCCCATTTAATTTTCTTCTGAAAAAAAGAAAGATAGGGATCCTGGAGCTGCCAAGATGTTGATTTGAACCATGAATTTGAAAGGTGACTAATGAACATATAGGAAAAAAATAGAAAGAAGATGGCCGTGCAGCTGGTGGAAGGCCACACCCGAAGACCGTTCATAGTTCGGCAAGTCAGACACTGGTGGCAGGAGTGGTCAGTCTGGCATTGTTGCTGATTTCTGCTTTGCTTAAGTAAATAGCGCTCTGATCCACTTGTCCAACGTCTCAGGGGGAGAACCTGGGGTGGAAACTCTCCATACTGAGTAACAAAGCACCGACCGTGAACAGCGTGCAACGGGGCGGGAGCCAATGGAAGAGTATTCACTGGTGGGTCCCTCTCGTTCCAACGTGGGGTGGGGGGTGGTGGACAGGGCTTCCAAGTGGGACAAGGAGCTGCCGAGTTCCTTGACTGCCCTCCAGACTGACGTGCTGAGCATCCCGCCGTGCTTTGAGCCAGTCTTTGAGCCAGATGCCCCGTCAGGTGTCCCTACCCAAATGCCCCGAGCCCCCCATGGCGAGGTTTAACGGAGAGACTTGGCTGGACACCAAGAGAGACCTGGAGGCGTAAGAAGACCACGGTGTTTATCTTCAGCTGCCACAGAGTGGCGATATGGAAAAGAAAAGCAACTTGTCATGGACTGTTCCAGAAGATAGAGTTTGCATCAGTAGTTTTAAGAGATGTTTGGTTCACTCTGAGAGGGGATTTTATAGTTACAGCTGCCCCAAGATTTGACTCACAGATTGCTGATAACGCTTACATCTCTGTTCTAAACAACACTTTGAATGCTGTTGTTTCAATTGCTTGTCCAGGCAGGTACGTGAGGGAGGATCGCACTTGACTTCTGCCCCAGAAGGGACAGTAAAGGTGTGTGGGGTTTGATTCCTCTCCCCAGGGCTTTTCTTCAGATGCAGGGGTTGACACTTCAAAGCACCAAGGAGTCATGACCTACCTCTTGGGTAACTAATTTAATTATTTAATGATAATTTGATTATTCGGTACAGTGACTATTTAAGAATAATTGCTTACAATCTCTCACCTCCACCTTGTACGTTCTAAAATAATTTCTATCGTGCCCAAGTACGAGGCAGATTTTTGTTGAGAGGAGTTCCCAAAACAGCGTACGATTTTTTGTATAGTATATGTATTGTATTTTCTGAAATATGAGGATGAAGCCTTTGACCCAGGGACTCATTCTGATGCCACGGATTCATATAGAAAAAGGAACTACCAGAGAATAACGGCCCACCTCGAGGGGCGGGCCTGTCTCCCACCGTTTGGAGTCCCATACGTTGCATTCAGGAGGTGCTGAAGGGTTTCAGGTGCAGCCGCTAAGTCACGCTAGGAAAGCGGGGACAGGTCTGCCTGGAGTGTGCAGAGAGCACGTGGGGACATGGGAGGAAGCCTGCGAATTACAGCAAGTGACTTCTCCGCTGATGTTTGGAACTGTGACTCCAGGACCCGTGTCCTTGAATGGGGCGCACGCTACTGTGAGAGACGCCTCAGGAGGTGGGCCATGGATGCAACCCAGCTCCAGGGTATGGAGGAAGAGAGATGTGTGCATTTGGGGAGCATGGTGGGTGTTTTTCTTAGAACCTGATGCCATCAGAAATGTGTGGGGGCTGCTTCTAAGGTCTGTCCCCTTGCTCTCCAGCTTCGCAACCACACAGAAATGAATCCCGTGGTCAGCCTCACCTGCTGTCAGCTGCAGAGCCTCCGTCGGGGTCTCTCAACCATGTGAACCCCTTCCCCATCCATAAAATGGGATCACAGCACCTGCTTCCCAGGCTGTTGGAGAGGGAGGAGGACGAGGGCGCGTCGTGGAGGCCCACAGGACAGGGCCCAACACGGAGTGGACGCTGAGAACAAAGCTCTCCAGTGTTACCTTCACGCCTTCTTTTTTCTTTTCTTTTTTTTTTTTAAGCCTTTTTTTTGTTTGAGGGAGAGAGAGAGAAAGCAGGGAGGAAGGGCAGAAGGAGAGAATCTCAAGCAGACTCCATGCTGAGTGCAGAGCCTGACATGGGCCTTGATTCCACGACCCTGAGATCATGATCTCAGCCCAAATCAAGAGTTGGGTGCTTAACGACCGAACCCCCCAGGCGCCCCTTCCTGCCTTCTTTTTAGGCAGAGCTCTGCTACTTTCCATTCTTGACAGGTTTTGATTCTCACTTCCACACGTCGGAACTGTTTGTGCTTTACTGACGAGAAGCGGAGCGAAGAACCAAGAGCCAGGCTTGCCCCTCAAGGGAGGGGCGATGGGGATGTCCTCAGGCTTCTTCCAGCCCAGGGAGCTCCAGGGGCAGGTGCCCACGCGGCCTAGCTGTTGACCCTCCCCTGCCCTTATCCTCAGTGCTCCCTGGAGGCCCCCCCCCACCAGAATGTGCTCTGTGTTCAGGAAACACCGTGGGATTTGTTGTAAAGTGGGTTTCCGTTCACTAAGGGAGGGAAAATGACCCGGCCAACAAAACTCATCTACACTTCTGTCCTTATATCAGTTCATGTTCCAGGAAGACAAACATGATTCTTCCCTTTACTCTGTAGCTACGCAACTCTCCCGTGGATGTATCTGATGTCCAGAATCTTCTCGAGTTCGGACGTGGCGTTCATCTCCTACGTGTCCCTGAACTTCATCTTCGGGCTCTGCACCATGCTGATGACCATCATGCCCCGGCTGCTCGCCACCATCTCCAAAGCTCAGGTCAGTGGGCTCCTGCCATGCCTCTCAGGGCAGCAGGCCATTCCGGCTCATGCCCCGTGTACTGTTTTTCCAGCTGGAAGTAAAGGAAAATGTGTGACTCTCCACTGTCTTTAGCCTCTGGATAGAGAACCCCACCCTGAGGATCGCAAACACCAGTGCCATTATGAGAGCTGAGCCCGGGCATCCCTGTTCGTTGACGAATTCCTGATCGGCGGTTGGAAGGGTAGATGAGTGTCCAGGTGTCTCAGGAGTAGGGGTCAGATCCCTCTCTCTGGGATCACGTGCCATGGCTGAGCATGCTCTCCAACCCTAGGAGCACTGGATGATCTGGCCCATTCTGCCCTCCTCCCTGTGATCCCTGGAACATACCTAGTTCTGCTACCTTCAGAGTGTCGGAGCAGAGGGCTGCCCCGAGAAGGGGCTCCGTTTCCCTGGGAAGAGGGTGAGGGAATCCTGCTCCAAGAACCCTCTCTCCGACAGGTGGTCACAGTAGCGAGTCACTTTCGGGGTATGGGATCCCCAGCAGGCGTCTCGATCAAGCTGGATCCAGTTCTGTCCCTGCCATGCTCCCCCCCACCGCCCGTGAACCCCACCTAGGTCTTATCTGCTTTAAGCCCTCCTCCGCCTCCTCTGCACTACCTTTGGGGACAAACGTCGGAGTTTTGCATTGTCCTCTGTCCCCTTATTTCTGTCCTTTTCATCCCTCCTCTCTGCTCTGAGCTCTGACCACTTTCCCTTCTGACTCCACACTGTCTACCTGGACCCCAATTCCTCAGTCATCCTCGTGTTTGATTGATTTGTGGGTGGAGAAGGTAGCCTGAGAAAGGCCCAGCCCTCCCAGTTCTGGAGGCTGCGCTGCTGGCCTATCTCAGGTGAGTCGGGGATGGGTGGATGCCCATCGCTTTGCTCAGCCCTGGGCTTGCAGAGATGGTCCACTTTCCAGCATGGCTCATACTGTTTTTGGGTGTTATGCACTACGTTGGTGTGGAAGCACTAAGTACGGAAACATTCAGGGAAGGAAACAATCTGTTTTGGTGATTTTTGCAGATCTAGTGTTGACACTAATCTGTATTAACGTACCTAGCCTCTAAGTAGGAAACCCCACTACAGTTATTGGGGTTTAGCTTGAGGAGGATGTGGAGGGTAGCCGAGGCAGGTGCATGCTTTCCCTGCCAGCCCCACGGATCTCTGATAGGACTTGGGCCACTCTGGGTGTCCCCATGAACTAAGGTGAGAAGGAAGGCAGACTCAGGGTGGATGGACCCTCCCTCTGGTGGGCAAGGCGAAGGGGACAGGATCACAGGACAAAAGCAAAAGGAGGCGGGATCCCCTGGACCCAGAGAGGAGACGAGCCGGGAGCCTTTGTGTCCCTGATAGTCCAGCACTGACGTCAGCGTCCGGTTACAAACAGCGTTGGTTATGTAGACAGAGAGCAAAGGCAGTTGTTTGTTTGCAGAAGAATGGGTCAAGCTCAATTGTTCACAAATAAAAAGAGACATTTTATCATTTTGCTAGGGTCTCTCTTTTCTTTTGCTCTTTATTTTGATACTGTTTGCTTAAGAAAGCCAACATCGTAAATGGGTGATTTCAGATCTTCACTCGTAAGCTATAGGGCAATAAATATATTCTTATAGAATCAATCAAGGGTGACTAGGTTCTCAGATCAGCCTTACAAGGCAGTAAACCAGGATTAACCATTGTGTGTCCAAACTGTGATGTTAGAGCATTTTAATTTTTACCAAATCACAATTTTTAAGCTGATTTCTACAGAAACTGCATTTTGAGTTCTAACGCACCATCTTGAACATCTCCCGGTTGGGGTGAGAGGGATGTCCGGAGGGGAATAACTCATAGTCCCAGTAATTTCTTTCTTTGCATACTTCATCAATTCGCAGTTATCCTAAATTGGACATTTATGGATTGTTATTCCCTGAATTCGTGCACTTGTATGTGCAGGTTACTTGCTCCTTCAGTGTTCAGGCATTGTGGACGGTTCTGTTCTCATTGGAATAGGGACAGTTGTGAATTCCTTAAGGCAGATCTGAAGTCCTCATCATTACTGTGTCTGTCCCTTAGTTCCCAGTTCCTGAGTCGGAAGCTGTCATACTCTACTGCTTCTATGTCATAACCAGTGAGAGAAGATGCTTTCATGTGGCACATTATGTGATTCAGGGACTGACACAGTTTTATAAAAACTGGGATTAACAAGCCCCTTTAGGACTGGTTGAAATCTATAAAGATGGCAGGTAGTCAGGACAAGAGTTAAGGGAAAAATCAGATGAAGCATTCATGTTTTTTCCGTGTCTGTATGCAAAAGACAATAAGCCACAATGGAACAATTCATACTCCTTTGTTGAATTTTCTGTTGCTCCCAAATCACGTTATATAAGACTGCATTTATATAAGTCAAGCTGTCCATTTGCATCATAAAGGAAAACTAGACATTGTCTAGGATGAAATATACAATTGATGATTTTGTAAATTTTTCCTCAGTATTTGTGATACGGCACATCCCATGTTGTGTATTATAATGTATACCTCGTGATGATTTTGCTTCCTTATAAAATATTATTCTTCAGGTGAATTTTTGAGTGACGGTAAAACAGTGAGCCTAATTCTTTTTTTTTTTTTTTT